TTTTTTTTTCATTTTATCACTACCACTCGCCTTTATTTACTACTCTCCGCAGCGTACAACAGGAACTCTCGACGGATGTATTTAGTTTCTACTATTTAGTCAATGTATTCGATTTCTTCTATCTAGTCAAACGACGATACTGACTTTCAGCCCGTAGCTCTCTTTCCTGATAAAGTATGACTTATAACTTTAATCCTTGAATGAGCAGGCTCCTTTGTACTGCATCACCCATGTGTAACGTAATCCTGCGCATAGAGCATCACTTATTCGTGGACCGCACAAATTTTTTGTAACGAGCTTCACTGTCGTTGTAGGATGCTGCTGATCTTATTGTCGCTTGCTGCTCTGAGTGCTCAACAGCAGTGGTCGCCAGAGGATTACCCAAATCCCCGAAAGGGTGGTTACAAGCAATGTAATATGCGATCATCAAGTAACGTTTGTGATCCAGACGAAGTAAGTTGTGGAATACAAAACTAGTATTCAAGGCATTGGCTGATAATGATTGAGTTTAAACTGGTTTTACCTTATAAGATTCTTTTCAATCTCACATGCTTTCAACAGGGTCCACAGGCATTGAAAACAAATTTCTAATTTTCTATAGCCCTTCGATAGATATATGTTTCTTTTTTTGGGTAGAAAAAAAGAGCTCCAGATCTTGAATATCTTTTCCCTCTGCGATTCAGGTGCTCAGCGAGTCATCGCGATATCGATTGAACAATGAACTCACTAACTTGGCCCGAAGAACCGAAGCCGAAGGAAACACCTATTGCACTAGGAAAGGCATGGATGCAGTGCTTGCTATCACTCGACAGGTTTGTAGATAGTATTGATAAAGAGGTGAACTACAAGAATATTATTTTGTTTATAAATTACTACTTATTACCTAATATTGTTATTAAAAAGTTTGTCACTTATTATTACTTTGCGGCATATTCATGGGTCATCGCAGAATTTTCGCTTTACCGTATGGTGAAGCCCTAACCGACACGGTTTATGATATTCTGTATCACAACATTGGGATCAAAAATTATAAGTCCTAATCCCTGATCCAATATATTCTATGAGCAATCACCTTTTCTGCATAAGTGCTCTCTAAATTTAACGTGCATGCTACTTCTGCTACCAGTTTTCATCTAAATATGGTAGTTTCGAAAATTAAAGCGCTGTGCCTGCTGTATACGTTATATGATCAATTTTCTTTTAATTTTGAGACAAACAAACATGAACCTTACAATAAACGCTGCTTATTGTCTCAAGGCACCCGCTTTCAATCACGAAAATAATTAGGAAACTGTTGGTCCAACGAGTTTTTGGTCCTTTTCGGAATCAGCTCATGCTGTATGCAAACTTAATTTTTAATCTTCTACCTAGCAGGTTGGATATTGTGCGACAGGGATGTAACATAGCCACTTGAGGTAGAGTAAAGTAATAGAAGCACGCCCTTCTTCTCTCCTTCCCTATTTCCCCTCGCTCCCCATTCTCCCTCTTAATCTCCTCCCCTACACCTCCCTCTCTCCCTCCTCCCCCTTTCTCTTTTCCCCTCACCTTTCTTTATGTATCTGGGTCACATCCTTCTCTCCAAGAAATCAGAGGCAAGGGGAAAAAGAAACGGAAATGATCAGTGAAATTTCAGCTTTAGGGTAAACGTGCGCGTTCATACAATACAGCCCGTAACTCGGGTGGAAAAAA